GTATATTATTATAAATTATATTATTTTGTTTTGCATTTATCAGGACAACAACTAAAACAAAAATCTACTGTTGCATGTCCTGACTTTATTTGCCCATATCGCTTGAACCAGTAGGAATATTCGAATGAAACAAAAGACAAAATACTTGTTATATATTAAAATATACATTTCAAAAAAAAAATCATAGAAATCGGTTGAATAAGCATTAAAAAAACCGCAAAATAAGGTCCCGGGTACAAACGTATCCCGGGTGTGTGTTTACGTGGTATTTTCTGGGTGTGTGTTCTAGGGTTAAAAAAGTTTGCAGTCTTCTCGTAAATGGTAATTTTTATCGAAAAAATAGATGCATGTACATACAAAATTTGTCGATCATATAGCACCTCTTTTAGGAACTCTTGCTTATCTATTTTTTCAATACAACTTGCAATTTAAGAGAAAAATGCAAAAACCTAATAATGTTGACCTTTGACCTTAAATAATTTATCTAACATATGCCCGATCAATGGGAACTTTTAAAGTTTTATTTGCAATTGTTTCCTACGGCCTTTGATAATTTCAGCTCTATATTAATTTTTGTAAACTTATGCGGCCCTATTGTGGTTTCCGACTTCGACGTCGATGTAATTTTTTCATCAAAAGATAGCCATCGTAAGTCCAACTCCAGTTACACTGACCACAGTATTTTACGGGAAAGGTGTTCCTCGCAGAAATACTGTGGCTAGCGTAGCTGAAGTTGGACTAATGAGGGCTATTTTTTGTTGAAAAAATTACATCAACGTCGAAGTCGGCAACCATAATAGGGCCGCATAAGTTTACAAAAATTAATATAGAGCTGAAATTATCAAAGGCCGTAGGTCGACCATAATAGGGCCGATTTTTTAATCTAATTTGACTGGACTAATATCAGGACTAATTTTTATTCCCTTACATGTTTTTTTGTTATTCGTTTTCTTTGAGTAAAACGGATTTCTTATTTTTTATTTAATTAAATTTGAAGGATAGATCCTTATTTTTTACTAAAATAAATATATAACTAATTTCAGTTAAATTATCATATAGTCTTTGGTCCAGCTAAGGGATTTTTTTATTTTATGAGTCAAAGATATATGCAGTTATAAGCACCAAGAGCTGTGCATCTTAGACGGCGCATGCATGTATAACCAGGAACTATTTTACTCGTATTTATAAAATCATCATATGTAACGTTGGTTCCGGTTGCAGGTCTATGATTCCGATCTCTTATTAAGATCCGTGTGTGAACCTTCACTCATCGAGCCAATACACTCTTCGTCAAACACCATCCACTTACAACTTCATACAGATTCTTTCGGAATAGACAGCTCTTTTCAATTGCATTATGAAGTTGTGCCGAGTGCACCCAACTGTGGCGGCGTCTTCACGGAACCATCAGGGACCATTGCAGGCTACATCAATGGACGTGTATGCTCGTATTTAATACGTCAACCAATCGACACTAAAATTAAGTTGGAATTCACAGACTTTCATCTGCTAAGGTCTGAAAGTTGTTTCTTACAAAAAGTCGAAGTTAGTAGTACAATTAGTTAATATTGTTTTTCCCACAAAATATTAGTCAGTAACTATCGTTGCAATTTCCTGAAAGGTTTTTGACGGAGCTTCCGATGATAGCAACCTCTTAAAGCGTCTTTGTGGCAATCAAAAGGAACTCGAGCCTATAACATCTAGAGGCAACGTCATACTAATACGTTACGAATATGTTTTGCCATCAATTAACTTACCTATGAAATTCGAGTTGAAATATACAAGAGGTAAGTACAGTACTCATATTTGTAGTTGCGAGATTTATTTTTGGAAAACTCATTACACTATGACTTTTCGATCCATCAAAATTCGTCTTTTATTTAATGTCCACAATAGGGGCAAACTTCCTGCAGTGAAACCCCAAACTAGTCGGGAAAAATACTAGTTTACAACTAGAATTTCCTGACTGAAACCGAACTAGTTCGAAAATGACCAGACTTGTACCAAGTACAAAACAATTGACAATTTGACTTCGACAGTTTAATATTACATTTTCTTTGGCCCCAAATGCGAGCTTTGAAATCAGTCATTTGAAGGTGTTTACACTGCTTGATCCGCATTTGCTTTGACTTCTCATCAATTGAAAAGGGAAGACAAAAACAAAATGAATGTAAACAAACACTACATTTATTATAAATTTAACCCATTTTGGACACAAAAAGGCAATTAGTCGTTGTTTAAACTAAAAATGTGTAAAGTATAAATTAACAATTTTTATACACAAATTTCAAAGATTTATTCAATTCTTTGTGTTTGTTTTGAATTTGAAAAATTCCAAATGTCAAAGACAAACAAAAGCTTTTGTGGAACTTTTGTTTCTGAGTTCAATAAAATTGTACGGCAATTGAAAGGCATTTGCTTCGTGATTTTGTTTAAATGCGAATTCGTATGGAGAAATGCGTGATTTGGCCTCGCATTTCGGATTGCTCGCCAAAATGACGTATTTGGGCTCAATGTAAATGTAATATAATACAATAAAGTACACAAAATATTATAATTTTTATTTGGGTATATTATAAACCATTAAAGCGAGTACGTATTCAATTATACCAGACCTTCTAAATAATGATTATTAATTAAATCATATTTTGTTGGAAAACCGTTTAATGATGAAATCCCGATATTACTTCCTTTTTAATGATTGATAATTAATTACTTTAAAAAAAATTTTAATTAACTCATTTAACTTTAATTACATCATTATTTTGATATTTTTGATCATTTTCAATTATTTTTGACTTCTTTCAATGACACGATTAATATAATTATGTGACTAATTTCTATTATCAATCAACAAGCCAAACTATAGACAAAAATTAAGAATATTTGATAACTGCTTGAATTATTAATTTATTTTTTTCTTATCCAAATCTTAAACATTAATTATTACTTTTACAAAATTTTAAAAAGAAAAGCCTGAAATATGCAAAGTTAATGAATTTAATTTATTTTAATGAAAACTTTAATTTTTATTTTAGTTCACTCAAAAATTAACTAAAGTATTCATTTTATTTTTAACTAAAATGTTTTCTTTTGCATATTCAATATTATTAAAAAAGATAAAAATATCGAGCCCTAACCGCCAAAATAACGTAAGCGACATTTTTTTCAAAATTTTCTATTTGATGCAGAAATATTTCTAGAGCATCTAGGTACATTTCTGCAGCAAAAAAAAAAAATGTTGAGAAAAATGTCGCTTACCTTATTACGTGAGGGCTCGATATAATATCTATTGAACCCGAAACCTTTTACTTTTAATAACACANAAAAAAAAAAAAATTTTGAGAAAAATGTCGCTTACGTTATTACGTGAGGGCTCGATATAATATCTATTGAACCCGAAACCTTTTACTTTTAATAACACTTAATGAAAAATGCATTTAAATTTATGTTTGAAAGTTCAAAATATTTATGTAATTATTTTTGCTTTTAATTAATACTCAAAAAATTTAACACCAATTATTGGCAAATCGAATGCTGCTAAATAAAAATATGTAATATATTAAAGCAGACCTGGGCGGCGCCTGCCCGGCGGGCATATTCGCGTATATGTACATACACGCTCTGCTTTAGAAGGCAGCGAAAGCTTCATTCAACCGCTCGACTTGTTCGCACGCACACACCCTGCAGTGAAAACCCAAACAAGTTAGAAAAAATACTAGTTCATAAAGTAGTATGTGCCTACCAGTTCGTCATTTTCGAAGAACTTAAGCGTTCAGCGACATCTGCCTTCAAATTCCCAAAGCCTAAAATAAAACGCAGTTAATTGCTTTTCTTACAAATGTCGGCTGTGGCGTCGCGTGAAGACTTCTGGTTCTGGTTCTGGGATCGCAGGTTCGAGGCCGCTTGGAGGTGGTTAAGATTTCTAAAGTTAGATCAATGTAAGTAGGAATACTTATTTCAATTTAAATATAAATAACAAACTTAAAAATCTAGTTGCATTACAAAAAAAAAGAAACAAATATATGGGAAGAAATACTTGTGCCATAAAAAAATATATTTAAAAAAAATATTTTTTTTTATTAAATCTAAGAATACCAAAAATAACCCTAAATAAAAAATATAAATAAAAGAAATATTATAAAAAAAAATGAAATTCCCTGCACCAANCCCTAAATAAAAAATATAAATAAAAGAAATATTATAAAAAAAAATAAAATTCCCTGCACCAAGGCTGGTACCTCAGGCATACCACGCGAGTGCTTTGCTCTGTCGGCCATTGC